GTCCGTGCTGCAGCACTCGGCTGAAATGGGAGTTTGTTCTTTGAATCAAGAGGAGAAACCTCAGAGTAACTTGGTTCATTGTTGCCTGTATTTGGGAATTTTAGGGCGGTGCTGATTCAGCAGTTCTGTTGAACAGTTACCAAGTGAAAATTGTGTTTTTTACTTGCATTGCATGGGCATGCAATATGCATCTTTTTTCTTTTTTGGGGTCCATCTTTAGTTATTTTGAGAAATGAAACATGAGACCACTGTTTCTCACTGCTTTAAGTACTTTTTTCAGCCTCATTCCTCAGCGTATCCATCTTGCCTTTACTATCCACCAGCCAAACTACCTGACCTCTGCAGTGACTGCAGTCAGATTCAGTGGTTGATCTTAAGGTGTCTCACTGTCTGCAGCCATTTTCCCACTGCCATCTGGCAGCTGTTTGCAGGTCGATGAAGTGCTTCGATCCTTTATTTCCTGTATTTTTCTTGTATCACCTTGTAAATAATGTTACATGGGAACAAATTGAAAGTGTGCAGCATTTATCACTGGAGGATTTATACCTTAAAGTTATTTGTGTTATGTGAGTTGACCAGAAGTGTTTCCTGAGCACACAAATTCCACGTAGTTAACAAGTGTTCAGCACACACTCCAGTTCCAATTCAGCAAAACACGCCTCGCACACAGGGATGGTTTGCTTTACATTTTGATGTTTACACACACAGAAGAATTAGCATTAAGATCTTGTTTCCCCGTCATTACTCAGGTTTTATTTGCCCGTCCTACAACCACATTTCCAAACGGGCTGGGATGCTGTGTAAGCTGCAGAAAAATGCTGAATGCTAGCTGTAACGTGTGCGCTAATGTACCAAACAATCAGATGGGCTCGCTCCCTTAAATTGTGATTGGTCAGGCAGGAGCGTTTTCTACAGCCTATCTTAAATAAACACGGACCCAGAAAATCAGAAAATCCTGGAATAAGATAAACTCTATATTAATATAGAGTCCAGCAGTGTTGTCGAGCCCATGTAGCATTTTTCAGTATAAAACTGACATTTAATTTGTCCTTTTATATAAAGAGTTTCCCAGTTTGTCAGAATGTTTTTGTGATATTAGGTAAAATACACTGTCTCCAGATGGCTATCGTGATTTGCTGCTCTTAAGAAATTGTTGCTAATATTTTAAACTATTTGCTTGCACGGTCTTTTAAAGAGTGCCGGACCGCTCTCCATTTCCAGCTCTAAATCTAAGTCGTCTAAATCTTGCTAATGCTCTTTTTGAATCCAATCATTTGTTATTGCCAGTTAGCTGTTAGTTGAATTTACTTGTGAAGTTGTATGTAGCATCCCAACTTTGTTGTAAACGGGGTTGCACATCTAACTGAGCTGAAATGCGCTGGCAGCTTCTGGTTACTTTACCAAAGGAGATTCTTTTCTTTTCAGTTAACCAAACAATAACATGATGAGCGCGTGTTAAACACAAGAAACAATTGTGCCTTCCAGCCACATTACCTGCAGAAGCATGCATGCAATCCAAATCATTTAAAATATCTTTTTCTACTTATTATGGAGTCTGTTTGCTTTATGTCACCATGAAGGCTTGGATGATGCACAATATTCAGCAGTGTCCTGATTCCTGAGTAGTGCCATCAAACCTTCTCTCTAATGTTCTCACAACATTAACAGTTTCTTTGGTGTTGTTTAACTTGTTCTGTCTGCGTGTTTGTGTGTTGATTGTGGAAAAGAGCCATCACTTCTGCTTTCTGCTGGCTGAAATTACTTGAAGTGACCTTTTTTTTTCTCGTGACTCAGCTGAAAAGTACAGTTACAATTCATGTGACGTCCAGACCTTGACCTTCTCTGACAATGTATCATCCTTCTTTATTTAGACTTGGCGGCAAACTTTACATTTCAGTGTGCGTCAGTCAAACGTCTGCAGTGGCCTTTGGGATCTACTCATGTTTGAGTCCCTGAATGTTAGCTAACGAAAGGGATGCAGTGTCACGTGTTTCTAGTTTTGTTTGTTACATCAGCCGACGAATAGAAAAACACTTGTGTTGGCTTTCCTTTTTGTGCTTATGTTTGTGTTCTTCCTGTGGTTTCTGTTCTCTGGCCAGTGTTGACTATTTTATTGATGCGTGTGTGGATTACAGTAGATTATGTTGTTTTCAGAGATTTATTCTTGCTTCCTTTAAAGTCTAATAATTCCACTTTAAGAGTATATGTTGGACTTTCTTTGTGTGTTAATGTCATTTTGTGAAAAAGACCTTATTGTAAAGTTCAATAAAGTTTATTTTTTCTTTTCTTCAGTTGCTGGTTGTTTAATTTTCAGTTTGGTGAATTAGTGTTGATATATTATCGACAGCTATGAAATGGGCGACAGACTCAAACGAAAGAAAATGAACTGACATGTTGGTGAATACGTTTTAAAAATTATAAAATAAAATACAAGTTAGTTTGGGGAGTGAAAATAATGACTTCACTAATATTTATGTTTAATGTATAATTTCAAAAGACTTCATATAATGGCATCTAGTCTAATTAATACAGGGTTATTGTTTAGTCTATATTATTTTAGTATCTATTTTAGTATTTCCAGGGGGTTATTTAACACGTAAATAGGAAAGTTTCCACGTAGTTTGTTACAAATAGAGCTCGACATCAAACAGCTTGTTTAAGGGCTCCAGTTCTGACGTGAGTTTCCCATTCGTTCTTTCCATGGACTTTTCAGTGTGATGTTTCCCACTGATTCTGGTCCATATTGATATGACATCATCAAACAGTTGCCACAATGATGCAACTTTGCTGCTCCATTGGAAACAGATCTGGTGACTTTAAGGCTGTTTGAGTACAACGACTTCACTGTCATGTTCAAGAAGTCTGAGATGACCTTTGTGGCCGAGCACATTATCCTGCTGGAAGCAGCAAAAAGATGGGTACTCCATGGTGGTGCTTAGATGGGCTGTTGATCACTTGTAAAAAAATAATAATAATAATCAAAGATCTGAGAGATGAGGAAAGGAGTTAAGTGTCCTCTGCTCTGCATCTGAGCTTATCATGGAAAACAGGCCAATCAACATAAAAGAGTTATGATGTGGATTTAAGGCTTCATGAGCCAGTCCTTGTTTTAGTACCTGCTAAACTAGTTTTCATAAAGTGGAACATTCAAAAATACATTTTGGCATACATTTAATAATGGTGTTTATGTGTGTGGCTGGTGGGAGTAAGGGGATGGGGGGAGTGTACAAGGATTTGATCTAAGAGCACAAGTGTAACCAGCCCAATCAGCGGAGACTGGGTGGAGACAAGATTAAAAAAACAAACAGTAACTGGTTCAGAGAACGTTTGGGTGGAGCTGCTTAAAAGTATTCCATTCACATGTTGCACAACAACAGACACTCACATTTAAACTGGTAATGTGAGACTTGGTTTTGTTCTGAGTTTGTTTTATTTTCTAGATTTTAGATGGGTTAATGAAGTAAATCCGGTTTGATTTCAAAGTCTTATATGGTACAGTAGCAGTCGGTAATATTGTGGTGTAAAGGAGTAAAGATAATAGAAGCAACCCAGTGTCTACAGTACTGGTGTCTGTAAATATCCTGAATCTGTTAATTTATGTATTGACTTATCAAGGATTTGATGCTGTTTTAATTAAAAGCCCATTGTTCCTTCAGTGGGCTGCTTTCAGTCATTGTGCAAATGTACTGTTTACAAGATTGGGGAAACCTGCAGTCAGCTGAGAGTGAAGAAGTCACTTGGATGAGTGACTAAACGTTTCTCCCACTGAAAACGCTACGTCCAGATGAACAGAATCAACCTTTGGGGATTTAACTATCTGGATGATTGAGCATGCATCAAAAGAAAACATCTGGGATGAAATGAGCAATTCTTGCACATCTGTAAATGCATCATTAATGGCTACTGAGCTTACTTCCTTATCAGGGAAGGTGATTCTTATCTCAGCAAGTCAGTGTCAAGCATGCACATAGTGCAAAAGGATGGCTCTGTACCAAAAACGCATGTAATAAAAGCTAAAGTGCAACTTTACTGCTTGACTGATGCATTTTAGCTTGTGGCCTCGATTGTTCACATCTGCTACCCGAGGAAAACCTTTGACTTATTTGAAACAAAAAATATGACCCCAAAATAATGAGGAGCTTTAATCTAATTCTAAGAAAGAATGGGAAGCTGTTTTGATTTAAGTTTGGTATATGACTGCTTTAGTTCCCAAAAGCTTAAAAACTGCTGGCAAGAGATTACAAAAAATTAAAAAATTAAAAAATTAAAAAATTAAAAAATTTAAAAAAAAATTAAAAAATTTAAAAATTTAAAAAATTTAAAAATTTAAAAAAATTAAAAAGAATTAAAAATTAAAAAATTAAATTTTTTAAAAAAATTTTAAAAATTTAAAAATTTAAAAATTAAAAAAAAATTAAAATTTAAAAATTAAAAATTTAAAAAATTAACTGTTAGGATTAACCTTTGATTAATACACTTTGTACTGTTTTCAAAGGGTTTATTTGCAAGTAGTTGCATTCTGTTGATCATCTAAAGCTAAGTCATGTATGCTATTGAAGGAATGTTGTTGGGTTACCTTTTACAGGGTGTGACAGACACACAAGTAGGAAGAGTCGTCCCTGTTAGTCGAGCTCATTTCCTTACACGACATCATGTCTCTTATAGTTTCGAGTGTCTTACCTTGTCTCGTGTATCTTTTGTGTGTGTTTTTGATCCCAGCGGAATCAGGTGAGTTTTTATTATGACATTTATTTCATCAGGCCTGAGATCTCATCGGTGTGTTTGTGTATTACTGTCTTCTGTCTACCATCACTACAGTATCTGTCTACCAGATCTTTGGTTCAACTCTTACGCTCTCTTCACTTTACCCTCGTTCATGTCTTACAGACGACTTGTGCCATAGCTATGTGGACATGTTCGGTGTCTCACATGATGCTGAAAAATGTAGCAAGTACTGCTGTGGCACATGCAATCTAAGATACTGCTGCAAGGATAAGCCCAAGCAGCTAAATCAGAAATCCTGTTCTGGAAGTTCTGAAAGGTGTGGTCTTCTATTTAACCTTTTTTTGTGA